CCGTCACGACTGTTATTGCTTCTAAGTGGTAAACGGTTGATGTGCAAACAAAATATCAATTATTTTCGAAATGTGCAAACAAAATGCTATTGATTACACAGGTTTCAACCTAACTTCCCTAGATTTTGAAGCACATTAGTCAAAATGTGTAGCTGGCCCCCCGTCATGACTTTTATTGCTTCTAAGTGGTAAACGGTTGATATGCAAACAAAATATCAAATGTTGTCGAAATGTGCAAACAAAATGCTATCGATTACACAGGTTTGAATCTGAATTCCATAGATTGTGAAGCACATCATTCATAATGTGAAGTTGGCCCCCCGTCACAAATGTTATTGCTTCTAAGTGGTAAATGGTTGATGTGCAAAGGAAATATCAACTATTTTCGAAATGTGCAAACAAAATGCTATTGATTACACAGGGTTTAAGCTGAATTTCATAGATTTTGGAGAATCTTTAGTCCTAATGAGAGTTTGGTGTTTTGATACGACTGGTAATCTTTCTTAGTGGTAAACGGTTATTGTGCAAACAAAATATCAAATGTTTTCGAAATGTGCAAACAAAATGCTATCGATTACACAGGTTTGAATCTAAATTCCATAGATTTTGAAGCACATCATTCAAAATGTGATGTTGGCCCCCCGTCACGTCTGTTATTGCTTCTAAGTGGTAAACGGTTGATGTGCAAACAAAATATCTATTGTTTTCGAAATGTGCAAACAAAATTATATCGAGTAATCAAATTTTTAAATAGATCTTACCAAGTTTTAGGTATATTGCTATAGACGACGTTTATTTATAAATTTGCCCATAAGTTTNAAAGTAGAGGTGTGCAAACAAAATATCAGGTATTTTTGGTATGTGCAAACAAAAATCTATCAATTAAGAGGTTTCAAAACAAATTTGGACAAAGGTGGGGTGCTATCGTGAAATTGGGCCCCCCAAACTTTTTTTAAATATAACTTTAGATTGAGCGGTGTGCAAACGAAAAATCAAAGTGTGCCAAACTGTGCAATCAATGTGCAAATGATTGACATATAAAAAGTTTTTTTTTTAATGGTGGGGGGCCAACTTCACGTGGGTGACTTTACGATCTTCTGCGAAGACAAAATGAAAGTAATATAAATGATTATAATCCTGTTCTTCTTACTGCGTGGGAAGGAAATATGGATATACAATTTATCGGTGAAAAGTCAACATTGCTTACATGATACGTGACTAAGTATATGAATAAACCTAGAAAATGTGAATTATCTGATTGTATTACTAATAGTAAGAATGATCAAAACAAATCATTGGCAAGTTATGTTTGGAATATCGCTTTGCAATTTACATATAACAGAGAATGTGGAGCTCTCGAAGCTGCTGATACTCTATTAGGTATTTCTTTCTTTATATGGGATTGATTGAAATACGAATATTAGATGGCTAAACGTTACTCAATTTTGACACAAAAAATTAAAAAGCCGTAAAGAGATTGAAAATCTTGATAATAAATCTACGGACATATTTTTTCCATTTTTGATAGATACTTATTACCCAATACGACCGAGAGAATTAGAAAATGTGTCTCTTTATGGATTTGCACAGTGGTATAACATCACAAAAATTAAACCAAAAAATAAGTATGTTGTATACTACAAAATAAGTAATAATAGTTATTTTAAACGACAAAAACGTAAATATCGTAATTATCATTATAGATATGATATGAATACACAATCGGAGAATTATTTCTTTTTATTATTACTCATGTTTAAACTATGGCAAAAATTAGAAGATCTTAAAAACAGATGTGATAATTATACAGAATCATTTCACAAAATAAAATTACATCTTCTAGAAGCATTACAATATCATGAAAAAA